GAGGACACCCCCCCATCTGGCCCTCTTGCTTCCTGCTGCTCTCAGCCCATCCCTCCCCAGCTCCAGCCCACCCAGAGCCCCCACTATCTGCAGGGACAGGTCCCTCCCTCCCTCCACCATTAGACTAGGAGCTGGCGGGTGGGGGTCTCTAACGCCCAATAAAGCGTCGGCTGCTGAATGAGTACCTTCCTGTCTTTCCCCACTTTCTACCTCCATTCAGGACCCATGTCAGAAACCTGGGGCCGCTTTACCCCCTCCCACCTCCATCCTACCCCCCAGCCCTGCCAGCTGCCGCCCACGGGCCTGGCCTGCCATGCTGACCAGAGCCAGCAGGGGTCAGAACTCACTCAGGAATAAAGAGCCGGAGGTAGGCCACAACCTTCCTGGCCTGCTGGACAACCTAGAGGGGTTACTCATTATTCACACGTTGCCAATGAGGCCACTGGGGCTCAGAGACATTCAGTCACTCACTTTGCGTCTTACAGCAGAGACCCAGTGTGACCCCAGGGGTCTGGATCAGGACCCTAAGGCCTCAATCACTCTGCACTTTTGCCTCCCCACACCTGATGGCTCCACAGCCAATTACAGAGGGGGGGCCACTTGTCTGGGGCCACACCTGAGGTTCCCAGGCCACCTGCCCCCACAGCCACCCTGTGCCAGCCTCGACTGCCAATCCAGCATATTTCGATAGAGAGAGGGCCAGACAAGGAGGGCTTTTAATTTTAGAAATAATTACTGCCACATAAGGGTTCCCACTGGCTTTCCTAGGCCCGAGGGTGCAGGATGGAGAGAGCTCATGGTCCCTGCCACACCTGGCTATCCAGATGGGCACATGAGGACTTGGGAAGCCCCCTGGACAGGCAGCCACCTCCCTCCCCCAACACCTCCTATGGCTTCCCCATCTGGAGCTACCCCCTCCTCCCAGGTGGTCTGTCTCCATGGTAACATCCCCATCACAGGAACAACCAGGTACTGCCCTCCCCCCACCTCCTGGGAAGCTCTAACCTGTGGCTGCACCTCCTTCCCACACTCCCTTCGCCCCCCATGGCAGCACCCCACCCAGCAGAGGCCACCCAGCAGCTGAGTGCACCTCCCTCTCCTGCTCTAGCCGTTTGCTGAGCACCTACTATGGCCTCAGGAGACATGGCGTTGAGCAAGACAGGAGTAGTCCCTGCCCTCAGCAGGCTCCCATTGGGGACAGTGAGCAGGGAGACGCTGGCCAAGGACAGAAAGGAGCAGACATGCAGTGGTTTCTGGGAATGAAAGACCCTGTGAGGGAAACAGGTGCCACTTTTTTTTTTTTTTTGGTGGGGAGCAAAATCTACCACCCTTGATGTCACTATGTCTCTCTTTCATTCAACCAGTGTTTATTGCACATTTACTGTGTGCCTATTGGAGCCAAAGACATGGTAAACAGGATAAACCAGTAAATTACAGGGTATCTTAACTGGGGAAAGTGGTGAGGAGGCAGAGATGGGATAGAAGGAGGTAAGGGGGTGATGGGAGTCAGGAAGCCAGACAGGGCCAGCCAGACATCTGGGGGAAGGATGATGCAGGCAGCGGGAATAACCGTGCAAGGGTCCTGAGGTGGGCGCGTGCCTCACTCTGCCCTTCAGTCAGCTATCCAGAGCAATGACCACAGCTGGGCAGAGCCACCAGCATGCTGGTGTGCCACTCTGTCATTGGGGGCTGAGTCTCTGCAGTCCTAGAAGATGAGTACTGTTCTGATCCCCATTTTACAGATGTGGAAACTGAGACTGGAGGGGAGTCTCCCACAGTCCCACACCAGGAAGTGACAGGACCAAGATTTGGACCTATCACATCGGTTGACATCCCCTCACACTGCAGGACTCACCTCCAGCATCCCTTCCCTGGGAAAGCGTCCATGACCCCAAGCCTAGGTGGGGCACTGGGTATCTCACTGAGTGTTCCACCTCGCTTCGTAATTATTTCATGAGCCTGCTCCACCCGCTCCATGGCAAGCCCTTCTTTCCCCCAGTGTCTCCTTCCTCCTGGTACACAGTAGGTGCTCAGTAAACACTTTCCTCTAAGAGCCTTGAAAGTCAGGCATCAGGAGGAAGAGAGGGAAGCTCAGAGAAGGGAAGTGACAGCCCTAGGTCACTCAGCACGTCCCAGGGATGACTTCTCTGTGAGGGGGCTCTGGGCTGGCTGTGGGTTTGGGGAACCACACCTTCTTTCTGTACCTCCCAGGCCAGAAAGGGAACCGCCCCCTCAGCCTGTGGGGGACCTGGCCTGCGGCCTCCTGGGATGTGGTTTCTGGGCCTCCAGCCAACACGACAGTCTGGGAATGGAGCCTGCTTGAGTCACAGGTGGCTGAGCTGACGCCAGGCCACCATCAGAGTAGCTGGAAGGACAAGGTGGTTGGGGAGGGCTGGGAGGGAACAGTGCAAGGTTACGCACCCATCCCCCAGGGCAGCCGGGCCTGCCTCTCACCCCTTCCTTGGGTCAAATGGCATCTCTAAGCCTCAGTTTTCTCATCTGTGAAATGGGAACAATAAGTGTCTGCCTGTGACAGTGAGGGTGCAGCAAGGAGCTGAGGACCCTTGTTTAGAACAGAGACCAGCATGTAGTAAACACTTGTCCATCTCAGCTGGGATCATTAGCACGATGGAGTATGCCCCCCCAACTTCTGTCCTCTGTCCAAGCACCCCAAACCCACCTCCCGTGCTGGACTCCACAGCGTGAGCCCCCTGAATGGGGCAGCCCTCACTCCTGGCCTATATGGAGCAGGCCTCGTCCTGGGGGGGGGCGGGGTCAGGACACCCACTCCTGGTCCCATTTCTGCTCTAGCTCCTTCACCCTGACATTCCATAATTCTAGGGTGTCTGTTCCCACAAGGCACCTTTCATAGGGTGAGGCAGATCCCCTCCTAATGTGAGGTTCCCAAGCCTCCCCACCCCACCATTCACCATTTGTACAAGTAAGACTCATTCTCCTGCAAACACCTCTTGAGTGCCTTTCATGCTGCACAGGCCAGGCAAGGGGATGATTTTGAAAAAGCCCCGTTAGTCAGATAAACACAAGTGGTTGTAAACTGGCCAAGGAAGGATGGAGGGAGAGGCATTCCAGGCAGCCGGTGCAGCAGGTGCAAAGGCCCTGAGACGGGCAGGAGGGAGCGTGGCATATTAGCAGAAGAGCAAAGAAACCTGCATTGGGATGGGAATGAGGGCAGGGTGGGAAGAAGGAAGGATACAATTTAGATGAGATCCTGAGGGCAACAGGGAACCACAGTTGGCTCTGGAGTCCAATGGTTAAGCTTCCTCTGGGAACCACGTGGGGAATGGGCCTGGAGTGCTGGCCTTAGTGAATGAGACTGGGGCAGGTGTCCAAGTGCCAGATGGATGGTGGAGGCCTGGAGGAGGGAGCAGGTCCCAGAGGGGCACAGATGGAGGTCCCGGTGTCTCTGGTACTGCAGCCTCAGCAGGCCCACCAAGGCCATGGCCACCGAGGTCCTCAGACACGCGCCAACGCGGGCAGACAGCTCACAGAGCCCCACTGGCTCCCGGGCCTGGTCCCCTGGCCCTGCCCTCCGCCCTGGCACCTGCGCGCACGTGTCCCTGCGAGTCCCACAGACACCTGCGGCCCAAGCGCCCTCACCTCAGCCAGCAGGCTGTGTGCACGGCCGGATGCAGCCCCGCGCGCCCCCGCCCCGCGCACCATAGAGAGTGGCAGCGGGCACGCGCCGGTGGGAGCGCGCACGGCGGGCCCGGTAGGCGGTGGCGGCGGCTGCTCCAGTCGGCTCCGGGCGGCCCCCGCGCCGCAGCCCGCGCCGTGTCCGCGGCGGAGCCGCCCAGGTGAGTGGCCGCGCGGGGCCCGGTGACCCCGCTGTGCCTGCGCACCGCAGCCCCCACCCGCGCCCCCATCGTCGCCTTGGGGGCACTCGCTCCGCGCGCCTCTCCCGGGAGCACAGCCCCTCTCCAGGGCCCCAGCGCTCCCCCAGAAACTTTGAGGGCCACTCGCCACGCTAGGGTGCCCCCGCACCTCCCCTGGGGCGCCGAGGAACGGGTAGCCGGGTGGGCGTCTCTCTGGGGCAGTAGGAACGCCTGAGGGGATGCGCCCCCCCTCCATGGGGGGAAGAAGGGGACACTGGCTGGGTCTGGGGAGGTGGAGAGGTTGGGATGGAGGCTTCAGCCCAGTCTTCCTGTCCTCCCCTCAGCGGCGTCTGGTCCTGCCTGAGGGGTGTCGAGCTGCTAGGAAGGCGAAGGGGGTGTTTGGGTTTGAAATCCAGACCAGGACCTGCTCCATCCCTGGGGCTGGGGAGCTCAGCCCGGTGGGAAGGATTTGGAGGCGCAGGGTTGAACCCCCTGCTGTATAGGCCTGTGTCCAAGCAGCAACATGGATGGTGGGGGGCTTCTCTCCATCCCCTGAGGCTGGGCCTGGGTGCCCCCTGGGGAGGCCACTAAGCCCAAATCAACAAGTTGAGGAATTAGGGGACAGCACCTAGTGCCTGGGTCTGGGCACAAGAACAGACCCCTTTGGAGGGTGCCTTATAAACTGCTTTTTTCAACATGTTCCCCTGGCACTAAAGATGCAGGTACCCAAGCTGCCCAGTTCTAAGGAATCAGAACTTTAGGGGGTTGAGCCCTGGAACATGCATTTTTAACACTCAGCCCCTAGAGAATCTATGTGTGCACAGAGTTGGTTGAGAGTCTCTTGCTTCTGGCAAGGGGTGGGAAAGGGGCGTCTGGTATGACAAGGGGACCATCTGGGACTTGATGGAGGGAGCTTCAGGGTCAGCAGGGCTGTGAGGTGTGGGGCAACCCAGGAGGGCTCCATGGAGGAGGTGTGGAGGCTGGGAAGGGTGTGGTGTGTGAGTGCCCAGACTTGGCAGACATAAGGTCTCAGTGTGGATGAAGGAGGTTGGAAACGAGGTGTATGGGTGGGGGAAGGGCAGGAGTGATCTTTGTCTGAAGTCTGGGCCAGGGGGAGCTGTGAGCTCCTTGCCCCGAAGCAGCAGCCATGTGAGACAGGATCTGAACTAGAAGTCCCCATGGGCCCACCTGGTGGGTTCCCCCACAGATGCAGTGCCTACACTCTATCTGGGTGACATGGGGTGACCGGAAGAGGCCACCCAGCCATGGGATGGGGCTCAGAAGGGCTAAACGCAGCCTTCCTCATCCTGCTTTTCTGTTCCCTGTCCCAGCTGGTGACTTCTGGCAAAGACAGCCCCTCTCTGAGCTGCAGTTCTGGAACTAGACAAATACAAACCTGGATTTACCTCACGTGACGTGAGATAAATGGACATACATCATACCCCTGGCCTGGTGCTTCTGTAAACTAGATGCTCAGTTAATAGAGGGCTGTTCTTATTATGTTATTGTTATTACAGCAGCTCTGCGTTGGACTAGCTCAGCCTCAGTGTGCTCTCCTGTACAATGGGGGTGGCTACTCCTAGCCGCCCCCAGATTAAGCCTGGGATCTGAAGGTGCCTGGCTGAGTGGGAATAAAAAGCAGATCTGAGGCAGCAACTTGATTTCTCATCCCACAGTCCTGTCATTCCTGGGTGCCCCTGAGTCACCACCTAGTTACCAGGTAAAGAACTCTCTAAGCAAAGCTTGTCCCAGGTGGGCCCAAGGGAGCCACCCACCACCACGTGTCAATCCCGGGCCTCAAAAGAGTGCCCTCTGCCCTCGAACCTCCAGCAGGACTCTGGGATTTAGTGGATAGGAGCGGGCATCAGACCTGGGTTCAAAAGTTGACTCTCAAGCTGAGTGATGCCAGGTGAGATGGGGACCACTCTGACCCTCAGTCCCCTTTTCTCCAAATAGTTTCCATTATCCCACCCACCCTGGTCCTGTGGGTGAGCAGCCACATCATACTGTGAACATTAAAAAAGTGGTTCCAGATCTAGAGGCCTCGCCTGAAAGGGCGGTCGACAGCCTCCCCACCCCCACAGGCTGGCAAGGAAAATGGGTCAGGAGGCCTCAGGACCCCCAAAGAGTTAACAGGGACTAACAGCAGACTGAGGCTAATTAGGGCTTAACTAATTGTCATGGATGAGAGCCTCAGGAGGGCCCAGATCTAGGACACTAGATGCACCAGTCCTGGGGCTATCAGCAATGTATCCCCAAAAGCAGGCCTTGGAGGGTCCCATCTCCCAAGCCTATCTGGAAGCTTGAATGGGGAATGCTTTGAGGGGCTGTCAAGCTATGCACCCCTTGCTCCCTCTGGCCTTAATGGTGGTGGAGAGCAGAGGGAGGGGTGGCCTGGGGACAGAGCTGCCAAGCTCCCAGCATCTATTCCCCATCCCCCACCACCCTCCCCCATGGGTTCAGCTGCCACCTCCAGCCAAGCGTAGGAGTCTTCAGCATCCCCTGGCCTGGGAGGAGACAGGAGGATGTGTCCCATGTGGCCTGTGAGAAAGCTCACTCAGGATAGAGGAGGTGGGTGAGAAGGGTCTGGAGTTCAAGGAGAGGGCTCACATACCTCAAGCCATAGTCTGCCTCCTCCTTGGGTTGAGAGCTTCGTGGCAAATTGGTCCAGAACAGCTTGGGGTGGATGAGAGGAAAGGTCTCCATTTCCTAGGTCCTGCCGTGATGGACAGATTTCCAGGCCCCTCCACAGGTAGGTCCCCACACTTCAGCTGAGGCTGCTCGTAGACCCTGTAGGGCAGCGGTTCTCAACCTGTGGGTCGCGACCCCTTTGGGGGTCGAATGACCCTTTCACAGGGGTCGCCTAAGACCATCGGAAAACAAAAAGAT